TATATATGCATATTTGTGTATTATATACATATATATAATTTTAAAACTAAAAATTTTCTCTAGGAAATTCCTATTTTATTGGAATTACAAGTCACAAGACAGTTTTATAACAAAACGATGATGTCCATTTTTTTCTAACTGAGAAAGGGATCTCTAAAAGTATATGTCTCTTTTCATATTCTTAAGGAAATTCTTTTTAATGAATTTTAATTTTAGTTCAGTTTTCCAAAGTTCTTTATATGAAGATGTCAGACGCCAGCCTCCTGGTGACTCGGGCAGAGCAGTCCACGTAAGTAAGCTTACTGATCGTCAGGGCTGTGACTCATTCCCTCGAGTGCTTGGCCCTCAGAACCTGGGTTCCCAGAGAGAAATGATTAAATGTAGCTTTACAAGTCTACAAAGATTATATCTGGAGTGTGATTCATACACATACTCTTGCTCTGCAATGTCCTAACTATTCAAGCAGTCCTGTTTATAGCAGCATCTTTTGTTTACCATCTAGCGAAGACCATGAGAAGAAAGCAACGTGATCCACCTACCAACTGGTGAGCGCACTCTGCAGGTGACTCATGTGGTCTGAGACTCTTACACTTCTCAGCTTGATCCAGCAACTCTTCAGCTATGGTTTGGACCTTGACATAAGCTGCATCCCGATGAAACTGAGCAACCATAATGATGGCACTGAAACATAAGATCTGTGTGTTGAATATGCAATGACTTTGCCCCTTCTTTCTTTGTTGTATCACCCTATTCTCCCCAAAATGATTTCGATTCAAATTTCAAACAAAAGGATATTGATAATGATAATCAAACTCACGCGTCTCTTAGGGTTTCCTCCAAGTGATCCTGGCGGTTAATATGCTGCCTGGCTGGAAAAAAGGTCTTGTTTGCTGCTGTGGTTTGGATGCGTTTATGCCCCTGACTTTCATGTGTTGAAATCCGAACCTGAGGTAAGAACTTGTAAGAATCATAAGTGTGGAGCCCTCATCCATGGAATTAGTGTCCTTAAAAAAGAGGCCCATGGGAGTCATTCATTCTTCTTACCACATACAAGCATAGCAAGAAGACATCATGGGCCAGAAGGCAGGTATGTACAAAGTACCAAATATGAGAGCCTTCACCAGACACCAGTGTTAGCAATTGGTCTTAGACTCTCGAGCCTCAGGTACTGTGTGAACTAAACGTCTATATTTATAATTCTCCTGCCTTGTGGCATTTTTGGTAAAGTGGCTCAGATCGACTAAGACAACTGTGTAACAGGAACTTTTCCAGATTGAAAACCTCCTTTAAGTTCAACAATCTCATTATCTGTCCACAAATTTCTAGATTTATTTTCATTGGCTGTAATCATAAGAACAATTTACCAGTATATATCTTCCTTTGAATTTAAACTGTTTCCTGTGACTTTTTTTAATATTCAAATACAGCTGAACTCTGTTGCTGGTTATTAGTAAATTACATGTAGTTGAATTGTAGTTCTGAATTAGGGCCTGGGGAAATAGTTCAGTTGGTAAAGTTCTTGCTGTCTCAGCACAAAAACCTGAGTTCAATCCCCTAAATCCACTTTTAAAAAAGAGCTAGGCACGGTGGTGGAAGCTGGTAGTCCTGCTGCTGACGAGGTGGGTGCAAGTGGATGCCTGGGGCTCACAAGCAGCTGGTTTACCCTATTTGGCAAGCTCCAAGCCAATCAAAAACCAAATAAAACAAAATGACACCAAAAGACATTTTAACATGAGAGAAAGGAAGCTCATGAGGTCACAGTCCTAGGTAAAGGAATGCTGAGAGCAGGAGAGATAGTCTTTCCCAAGGAAAGTACTAAAGAGCATACTGCCTGGTGATGACAGGTACAAATACTGTAGCTTCTATTGTTTCTGCAGTCATTCACAGTTTCACTCTATTTAAATTCACTGAGCCAGTTCCAAACATTGGCTCAAGTGTTGTGTTCTCTTATCTAGGCTGGAAACAAGGAAGGAAGGCTGAAGTGAGATCGTCCCAGGTGAGTGGCATCACTGAACTAGCCTCCTTCCTGTAGCTGCTTCACAGGCTCGTGGCTAGCAAGTTTCAGTGACTCTTTAGACGGGGATGACCGCTGAGAATGATAAGCTTTTCTACACACACGGTCACTTAACACATCCTTACCGTCGGGCCACACGGGCAGGAGATGGGGTTTCCTACCTGCGTGTAGTAAACTTGTTTGAAGAGGCTCACATTTAATGGAGCTGAAGAAAGCAATAAGAAATAGAGTTTTAATAACCTCCATCGTCTCAGATGAAGTTCCACCATTTGAGAGATATGAAGACTTTATATTCTTTTCAAGCCTTTATAATTAACCATTAACTTGTCGGGTGAATTTTTTTTTTTTGCCTTAGTGCTCCCATGGATTCTCATAAAGTTGAAGAACTCCGCAATGAAGAAATGTTGGTGTTCGTTAATGAGTACAGGATTTTAAAACAAATAATGTCGACCTACAATTTGTTCAAGGTTACAACACACAGGCCTTGTGATAAAAATTGATCGGCTCGTTTGGTAAATGCCGGTCTACAGGATCTCCTTTCGCTGAAATTCTTGTTTACATGGGCAGAGTTCTAAAGAGCCAAATAGAAGGCAAACACGTACTACCCTTGGTCAGACAAGTGGTCAGAACTCAGGTGTGGATGCTGGGCGCGCTTACAGGACCCTGCAGGGAGGAGCACGGCCAGCAAGCACAAAGGCATGACACCTATCAGCGAGTGCTGGTCGTCAGCCTGGACTACCACGTGGCTTTCTCTCATGCAATCATACTCTCGTTGTCTGCAAGGGAAATTAGGATGAATTCCTATCACTTGCTGGTGGGCTCACAGACAACACTTCAGGTCCATCTACCTTGAGAGCCTACACAGCCAAGGGTTGCACTGTCTGATCTCCTTCCATTGCTGCCTGTTTTGCTGTTCATGTAGTTCTTAGGTCCAGGGCAAAGGAACGGGGGGGGGGGGGGTTTGATCAGTAAAGAGAAAGTGTGGGATCATGTGAACCTCAGAATGTAAGAGAGAGGAGATTGCCCCTTGCTACTTCAGTCTTTCCTTCCCTCAGTTTCCTCATTTACAAAATGTGACCCACCTGCAGGTGAAAATTCAGTTTTCTCCAAGGCAGCCCCACAGGGAAACAAACTACTCTTACGGGTAGGCTGCATGCCCAGCAGTAGACACCAACAGAAACGAATTCAGTGACACCTTTGGGGGAGGGTGGGCCTTGTCTCATAATGTTGTGTTAAAACTTTTTAAAGTTTTGATCTTATTTTTATTTTTTTTAATTTTATTTGTATATATTGTCTCTCTTTATACCCTACAGGTCCTTTGAATATATCATGGCTTCTAGTTTAGTGTTTTTATGTAATTCCTAGGTGTGTGAAGTGGTGGTCTCTGTTTCTTGTGCATTTTCTTGAGTTCTTTTCCTTCCATTTATTTTTGTTTTGTCATAGTCTTTTATGTTAGTTTTTGTTTTATCGTATTATATTAAATTATTATCCTTTTGAAGTCTTTTTTTTTTTTTTCTAACGAGAAACAGAAGGAAAGTGGGCCCGGACGGAAGGAGAGCTTGGGAGAAACCGAGAGGAGTAGAGAAGGGGAAACCGTACCCAGGATATATTCTGTGACTATTTTGGGTCTGGGTGGCCAGGAACAAACAAGCAGCCTCAGACAACACAGTGAGGACAGATAGACAAGTCAGAGGAGTCAGGACTATGAAGCTCAGAACCATGCTCGGGCACTTCTGCTAAGTATTAACAGCTCCAGAAGAACAGAACTTTTGGTGTGGGACACAGAGAAAACCCTCTAACCACTGCTGACATTGTAAAAGTTCCCCAGGCTCTCTGCACAAGAGATTACTGAAAGCTTTCTAATGTGTATTTATTTATTGCATGTGTTTACAAGCACATGTGTATGGAGGTCAGAGAACGACTTGTGAGAGTTGGCTTCCTCTCTGCCATCCAGGTCCCAGGGATTTAACTGAGGTCATTGGGCCTTTACTGTAAGAGTCATATTGCTGTCCTGAATAAAAGGTTTTTTAATGTACACAACATGGTTGTACCTATGATGTGACATTCACAATATTGTTCTACAAGCAGAAGACACAAGCCTTGGTTCTTTGTGTCACTGACTAGCTGTACTATCGAGCAGATTAGTTCCCCAAACCTCAGGTCTCTGTATAATTGGAATTAAATTATGCACTCAGAGATTTGTTACAACTAAAGGGGGCAATGAAAGCACTTGGAGCAGGGTTCTGTGCATCCTATAGACTGGCTGTGAGCGGTACCCACAGTGTGCTGTCATGGGTTCATGCCCTCGGCTCCCCAGTTCCTTCTCTCAGTGGCATCAGAAGGACCCAGAAACTCTTTCCCCACATAGGGAAGAGTTCTGACCTTCAAAGTAAGGCGAGTTCAGCACTGGAAAAAGATGCTGACAAGGTAACTGAGTCATGACAGTTTAGTCGTGTGTGTGTGTGTGTGTGTGTGTGTGTGTGTGTGTGTATAAAAGCACGTATTTATGAAGACACAAGTACACCTCTGTACTCAAGCATGAGGAGACTAGAAGTCATTCTCGGGTACCATTCCTTAGAATTTGTCCACAATTTCTTTAAGACAGGTTGAATAACCAGGGGACTCAAGGGACCTGCCTGTCTCTCCCCTCCCCAGGGTTGGGATTAAAAGTGCATACCAACATGGTAACTTTTTATGTGACTTCTGGGGATCAAATTCAGGTCCCTGTGATTGTACAGAGAGATGGCTAGACTCAGTTGTCAGCTTAACATACCTGAGAAGAGAAACTCTCAATTGAGAATTTGTGCCCAGTTGGCCTCTGGACATGTATATTAGGCACTTTCTGGATTGGTAATTGTTGTAGAAGGACCCAGAACATTGTGGGTGGTCTGATTATTTGAAACACGGACCTGGGCTCTATAATAAAGGTAACTGAATATGAGCCTGGGAATAACAAATAACACAGTAAGACTGTTCCTGCATGACCTCTTCTTCAATTCCTGCCTCCAGGCTCCTGTCTCTATTAGTTCCTGCCTTGGCTTCCCTTGATGAAGGACTTTTAAGGTAAAATAAGCCTTTTCTTTCCCAAGTCACTTCCGGTCTTTGGTGTCTGTTACAGTAACAGGAACCAAACTAGGACATGCAGCAATCACTTTGCCGACTGCAACACAACTGATTAATTTTGTGATCAGGTTGATAGATGACATTGGTCTGACAGGTGATGTTATGCTTTCATTTTATTGCTTTTTGTAGTAACATGATGCAAGTAAGGGTTAGAGAATCTTCTATTCCATTCTTCTTCAGAGCTGAACCTCGTAATGGGATGGAGAGGGAACGTGTACCAGCTGAAAAGAAAAAATATATATATACAGTGAAAGAATCCGAACTCAGGCAATAGTCATATATTTAATAAGAAAGGAGCATCCTTTATGAATATTCTTTGAAATCACAAACATGTGTTTGTTTACAAGGCTCTCTGTTGAGATGTTGACCATGCCTCAGCACAGCAATTTTCAATGAGACTCTCAAAGGAGACTTTTGGAAGGTTACTGAGGTTATCTGTCTAGTTCTTCCTGAGAAGTTGACACTTTTCTGCCCCTTCCCCACCTTAGCCCTTTGAGACTCTGTCCCTCTACAGTCCTGGCTAGCCTGGAGCTCACTGTGTAGCCCGGGCCAGCCTAGAACTTGCAGCCATCCTATTGTCTGAGCATCCCAAGAGCTGTGATTACAGGAATGTGTTGCCTCACCAGGGTTACCTTTCCAGGGACTCAACTGTCTCTCTTTTCTGATTCAGACAAAAGAATGCAGAAAAGCAGAGACTTGGGGGCCTTTGGGTTATTCAGAAACTGAACAGTCCTGGCATGATGCAGTATTCCTGCCCTGCATATAAGGATTGGCATCTAGGGAAACACACGAGGACCTGAACTGGCTACTATGAGCTCCTTAGTGTATGGACTAAGTCAGAAACAGATGTTTGACACACTGGAAGGAATAAGCCATGGAAGTCAAGTATCACATCAAGCTTTAATATTTGACTGAGATAGAAATGTTTACCTCTGGTGTTTTATCTTTTTTTATTAGCAGCTCCACTTTCATTACCAATATTTGAGCCCTGGGAGGGGAAAAAAAGAGAGATAAAATCACAGGAAGAAAAGTTTGAGATAGTCGTGTTTAGGTAAGCACACTTATCTGAATTTTGAATGAAGATATAAATCTTGCACACACAAGAAGGGGGAGGGGGAAGGAAGACAGAGAAAAAACATTCTTTGAGTAACCTTGAGTAAAGACACTGAAGTCTTTTTGTGTCCTACAAATGAATTCATCTATCTTTTTAGACAGCCCTTAAGGATGCACTTGGGCAAATGCTAGATGGAGGTCAGTGTCCTCTAAAGAAACAATATTTTAGCAAATGCATATTTTTTTAAACTTTAATTAATATTTTTCTTTTACTTTTAATCAACTTTTTAGTTATATAGATCATAATTTTTATTGTGTTTTCAAAGATTAAGTCACTCAGCAAAGTAGAAGACTCTCAAGCAGGATGAAATATGTGTCTAAGGTGTGTGCCTGCAAGTGTTCGTGAGTGTGCAATGTGTGTGCATGAGCATGCATGAGTGCGCATAGCTGCGAAATACACCAGAAGCTGCTGGGAAAGAAATAATAAGAAAGAAAGTTAAAGATTTCATCTCATGCTCCCCAGAGTCACCAGCTGGGGCTGACACTCTCAGGTACCAGGGTCTCACCACGGCAGGTTCTGCAGATGCCACAGTAGTAAGAGGAGCAGAACCAGCTCCCTGATCTCCCCACTTCCTTACCCTCAACTCCCCAAATGCTGTCAACTGAGTGACCTTGGAAAGATCCAGAAAGAGCAAACAGCCACCTCAAAAGCCTTCCTTTCCTAGTACCATTGCCCTTCTCCTTTCCCAGCTGGCAATGAATTCCTCGGCAAGTCATTTTTACTCCATTGTACTGATGACAAGAGAGGGTTGAGGAGTTAGAAGCAATGGTGTGAGTCTAGCACAGTTATTTACAGAGGACGGATGCAATTTTGTCTAAATATACAGAAAAGACGGCAAGGATGGGAACCAAGTTTGCCTGACAGTTTTGTTACACTGGAGTTACTACTGTGGACATCTAAACTTCAGTTTGGTGATAACTGCTCTCAAACCCAAGGGTCTCAGACTTGACAGAGAAAGAGCAAGAACCAGTAGGAAATCCTATTTTGTTCATCCTTCCTGAAACACCAATAGAATTTCAGTGGAAAAAGAGCAAACCTCTGAGCGGAAGCAGGCTTCGGGCTCCTGCACGTCGCTGCACTTCTC